TGTGATGTAATTTGTTTGGATGCCCAAATGTCACCAGCGTTGATTGTAAGAGATGAAAAAAATGTACTTGCTCAGCACACCAAGCTCTGGGCTAAAATGTAAGCATGAAATCTCTGGTTTATTTTTGTAATAATGTTTACAGCTGTTTAATGACCCTGAAAGGGTTCAGTAGTCTGGTGTTCTGTATTTCTTAACAGGAGTGTATTATGCTTATAACAGCCTTAGTTCAACTGTTTCAGCTGCAACAATAAGAACAATATTTAATAAAAATTCAATATATATTCTGAAGGTTCTCGGCAACACCTGTTTGCGAGTTGCTAAGGACTGAAACAGTCTGTATTGGAGTATTTAAAATTTGTCAATGGGGCACAAGATAATGTAGATATATGTAAATTTTCCTAGCTGGAAAGATAAACACCAGGTCTATATTCTGAAAGCATAAGTAACTGTGTGTGTAGCTCTAACTGCTTAGAGGATCAGGGCCAGAGTGAGCTTGTCGTTGGAACACGTGAGCTTGTAAAGCATTACTTTGCTTACTGAACTGTAAATCTTTTAACTAACCTAATCTAAGCTATAATAACAGCACAACACTGGTTTTAAAATGACTGTTTTCTCTATAGCAGGGAAGAGGGAAAAGCTTTTTTTTTTAATGAACAGGTGTAAATAAGAGCTGAATTTGGTCCATCTGTTTACAAAGATAACAGGTGTGTGTCTGCACATATGTGTCTGGATACAGATATGTGTCTCTGCATATGTTTACATGTGTGTGTAGGCATAAATTTATATTTAAACTCTTCGAGTCTATTTGCCATATTTTTTTCCCCCTCTGTTTCCAGCAAAAGGAAGCTGAGCTTCTCGCATTACATTAATGTAGTTGTGATGACAGGCATTTCTGGTGTCATAATTGGTTTTAAATTCCAGTAATCCATTTCAAATAGTTAAAATAAAATCCGTGTGTTCAATTGAAATGGCTAAAGTCAGAACTTTCGTTATTGATATCACAGGAAATAGTCTTGAGGGCAAAAGTGTGAGTGAAATCAAAATAACTATTAGTAGCATCAAAGGGACTTGAATGTCTCACTGTACCTTCATGTAGGAGATGAGAGAGTAATTTTATAATACATGGATCCCGTTGTACATTTCATAAGCTGAGTGCCCTCCTCATAGGGACAAGAATCCATACTCCTGGCACAGTAAATGACCTTCTGGCCTCTGCTGGTTGGTGTGGTTCTTGCTGGGGAGCTGTTCCTGCCCTGTCCTGTGCAGCATGAGCCAACTTGGGTTGTAGCCTCTGTGTGTGTAGGAGGGTGAGGCTGGTTGGGTGTTTTTAGGCAGGGTGGCTCACTGGGCAAGAGCTGAGAGTTTGTTTAGGTTAGGTTGGGGCAGCCTGTGACCAAGTGAACGTTCTATGTACAGTGCCACGTCTTGAGGGACACTGTCTTTGCAAAGCATTTGAGATCATTAAAGGTCAGAATTTACAGCATAAACTTCAACCAACTTATTTTGAATTTCTTAACAATCTCCAATTTGATTTGCAGTTCATTTTGTAAACATTTGTTAAGTCTTGAGAACATTGTGCTTCTGTTCCCAGCACGAGTGATGGCAAAACATTCTGTGCTTTCCTTATAGGAGAGATCAAAATCATGAAAATAATGTAACAGACTATATGTTTAAAAATGGAAAGCTAGATGTTTTCCCTACCATGGAGCGTCGCAGCAGAACTTAGAAATTGACATTTCCAGATTTTCTGTTTCTAAATATTTGGTGTTAGGGGTTGGGGAGGCAAGAAGGGAAACTCGTGGTGAAGATGATGTGAAAAATATTTTGTCAAAATTACAAATTGCAAGAGATTCACTGGGGAATCTAAGTCCCTTACCCCACCTGGCATAACCCTGTCTGGTCACAGATCTAGACAGGCATGATGGATAAAGAGGAGAGAATGAAATTGCTCATTTTTTTTTTTAGGAAATTAGGCAAATTAGATTGAGTTATCTAATTCATAGTGGAATGATTGATGAGGAGGAGTTTTGTTTCTGTCTTGCTTGTGGATACAAGGTGAGATTTTGGTAGGATTTGCTGTGAAAGGGCTGAAGAACACCAAGAGTCTGATTTACATGAGAGCTGAACAGTAGCAGGAGTGCTGTGTTCCAAACTGTAGTAATCAGTCACTGCAGAGGAGAAATTCAGGACTTTGAATGCCATGGTTATAGTTTGCAATGAAACCAGGTTGGAGTGAGGAGAAGAAGAGACAATTCAGAGCCAGAGGCAGGAAAAAGCTGGGGCAGGTGAGGGTGGGAATGCAGTTTAAGGAGAAAATGAAAAAAAAATAAATGTTCCAGCTACAACTGCTGATGTTACTTTATTAAAGTTATCTTTGAAAAAGAGGCACAGAATGACTTAAAATCTCAACCACAACTTCCTCTCCCTTCCCCAATCCAAATAACCATACATTGGAACTGGTGCTTGGGGTTAAACACCAGAATTAATAAATTCCACTGGGATCTGTCAGCATTTCCAAACTTTGGTAGAGCATAAAATGCTAGAGTTAACTACCCAAACCTTTCTGAGCGTGTAAAGGCACCAGTACCCATTGAGATCAACTGAAAAAATGAAATTCAGATTGCATTTTTCTAAACCCTCTTCAGTCTATGTGTGTGTCTGTACATGCAATGTATTTCTTGAACTTTTGTGCTCTTGTTTTCCTTGTTTAAGCATGATGGTATGTGGAATCCAGATGGAAACTAGATTCTGGTTTTGGGGTTTCTTGTGTTGTTTTTTTTGGGGAGGCTGTTTATTAATTTTCAGAAACAGGTAGGCAGATATTCAAAATCTCAGTCAACTTCAGGCAATGGCAGGTCTAAGCACCACAGCTCTCAGTTGTTCAGTTAATCCTTTTGAACAGGAAATTTGGTTCATTCCAAAAGTTAAGCAAACTTTTAGAAATTAAAAAATTGGAAACTAAGAATGTTCTTTATTTGCTACATGGCCTTGGGTGAGCACCTGGAGTGACTATGTTTCCCTACCTTTGGAAAATAGACACTGCAAGCTAAACTTGTGTGCTCCTTTTATATACTTGATCTCTTTAATATTTTTAAAAATAATAATATTGACAGAACTCAGTAATGGGTCCCCAACATGAGACCTGAATCAGACCACTGTTAAACTTTGGCAAAGATCTGGTTTATATCTGAGCAAAATTATGTAGCTCATGTTCAGCTTTCATACAAGATCTTCCAAGATCTGCATTCTATCTATCACAACCTCAGTCATCCTGTGAGGACCAAATAGGTTTCCTCTTGAAGACTTCCCATACTTTTTTTTTTTTTAAGGCCCTGATCCTGCAAGTACTTAAGCATGTGTGGAACTTGCTTTCAAGAGTCATCCTTTGGTATCTACTGGACTACTCCCATGAACACAGTTCCATGTGTTTTAAGGATGTGCCAGATCTGGACCTTGAATTGTCTATCAAATGGCCACTATGAAGCTGTGGGAGGAATGGTATCCACCTGGAGTGTGCCTATAGCTTCTGTAGAAGTCATAGAGAATAAATACTTTGGCTAAAGCCAAACAGAAACTTGACCAAATTAATTTTTCAATAACATGTAGAATTCAGTAGTTTTATGACCAAATAAAGCATCAAATCATTCCACTGAACAGCAAAAATCTTAATTATGTTCTAATATAACCTTATAGCATCATATAGTTTGAGAGTTAGTTATGTAAAACTTTATATTTTAAACAGAATTTTATAGATACATTATATCTGTATAGAGTAGAGAAGTGGCAAGGATAGATTATTCTGGACAATTATGCAGACCAGAACAGAGCACTTGTGTTTAACAAACAGCTTTGAATTCTAATTTTCTGCAATATACATAGTGTAGGTACAATTTGTAGTCATTACTGTGTATTAGGAAAGTTATTAAAATTCTTAAACTTGTTGAGGCTTTCCAAAACACCTTCCCCAGATTTTAATTGGTTTTATCTAGTTCCATAAGAGAGCTCTTTAAAACAAATCAAAGTGTCTTAAATCACATGTCTTACCCGTCGAAGGATGGAGATATTCCTTCTATAATCTGGCAAGTTTTCCTAAGAACAGAAATCTGAAGGTTCTCAGCGATGAATTAAAGGACTTGGCAGAAGATAATTTATGTGCCTTTTGATGGGCTCAGTTTCAAAATGACAAAATAACAATGTTTTGTAACAGAAGGGTTAAATCTTAATCTCGGAGGTTTACAAAGCTGCTAGTCGCAGTCTCCTTAAAATTTAATATACCTCGTTAATGCTTACTTGCAAACACTGAAGGATTTTTATGATTATAATCATGTGTTACAGCACCTAGTACTGTTTCTAAGCAGCATACTAATCAGCTTAATGAGATATTACTGCACTTTTTGTTGACTAAAGCAAAATCCCTTTTATTGTTCTAAAGCTTGTCCTTTATTTTTTCCCAAAACATTATCTTGTTTTATTGTACACCAGTAAATATCATACCATTGGTTTTTTGTCAAATCATAAAACTATCTTTCTCATTGTAGAATGTGTAATATATTGAATATGGTTAATGGAACCGAAAGTTACAAATGGATTTCTGTTTTGGCTTTTTTTTTTTTAACTGGCTTTTCTAATGGAAATGAGAGAGATGCATAAGATTTCTTTTTCTATAGATTTAGAAATGCAGAGAGGTGCAGTTCCACAAGAAGAAGGACAAGGGAGGTGGTAAAAACCTTTGCCCCTTCTGTAATAACTGGATTTTGAAATTGTAGCATATTTTGAAATAATGATGAATAGTTCTTGGTAAACATGCAGCATGATGGAAGCACATGTATGATCAAAATCGTGTCACACAGTTGGCATTTCATAAACTTTTAGTTGTTTTTACACTAATTCCTTTGCATTATTATGAGCAGGTAAAACATAAAATGCAAATTGTATGTCAGTGATTCAATGCTTGGAACTCTTTCACAGTCTGAATCTAAAATATCTTCTGATTTTCAGAGATGGAGGAAGCTAGTTTGTGCCTTGGTGTTTCTTCAGCTGTGCCAGAAGCTGACGCCCATCTCAACAGCACCATACTCAATGGGCAGTATTCAATGAGTCAGAAGCTGCACCAGATCACTTCCCAGCTCAGCCATGCCTTCCCTGAGCTCCAGAACAGGCAGAACCCAGAGGAGAAGGCGTCAGTGCCGCTAGAAGACAAAAGCCACATGTCCATAGCAAACCAGCCCATCAGCAGTCAGATGGCCTTGTTGGCAAACCAGCTCAATAGAGAGGTTGATACCAGTTTGAATGGGCGTGTGGACCTGCAGCAGTTCTTAAATGGACAAAACCTAGGGATTATGTCTCAGATGAGTGATATAGAGGACGATGCCAGGAAAAACCGCAAGTACCCATGTCCCCTGTGTGGGAAACGCTTTCGATTTAACAGCATCCTGTCTCTGCACATGCGAACTCACACCGGAGAGAAACCATTTAAGTGTCCATACTGTGACCACAGAGCAGCTCAGAAAGGCAACCTGAAGATACACCTGCGTACTCATAAGCTTGGCAACCTTGGCAAAGGTCGTGGAAGAGTCCGAGAAGAAAACAGACTTTTACATGAGCTGGAGGAGAGAGCAATTCTCCGGGACAAACAGATGAAGAGCAGCCTCTTGCAGCCACGACCCGATGTGAAGGCACAGCAGCACACCCAGCCAATGCCACTCGCAAACTGCAACTTGTCTGTGCCAGCTAATCACAGCACACCTGATATTTCAAACCCCGTTCCCTCTCCAAAGCCAGTTAGTGTCCAGGAAGAAGTTGTTGCTCAGACAGCTGGGTTCAGATGCACGTTTTGCAAAGGCAAGTTTAAGAAGAGAGAAGAGCTGGACAGGCACATAAGGATCCTGCACAAGCCTTACAAGTGCACTCTGTGTGACTTTGCCGCCTCGCAGGAGGAGGAGCTGATTAGCCACGTGGAGAAGGCTCACATAACTGCAGAGTCAGCACAGGGCCAGGGCTCCAATGGCAATGGGGAGCAATCCACCAATGAGTTTCGCTGTGAGGTCTGTGGCCAAGTGTTTAGCCAAGCCTGGTTCCTGAAGGGCCACATGAGAAAGCACAAGGATTCCTTCGAGCACTGCTGTCAGATCTGCGGGAGGCGATTCAAAGAGCCTTGGTTTCTTAAAAATCACATGAAAGTTCACCTGAATAAGTTATCCGTAAAGAACAAATCTCCTAATGATCCCGAAGTACCTGTCTCCCTCAGCAGCATGTCCCAGGAAGCCCATGCAAACTTATATTCAAGATATCTGTCTTGTTTGCAGAGTGGGTTTCTTCCTCCTGACAAAGCGAGTTTAAGTGAACAAAATCAAATCTATAACAAAGGAGATATGCCCATGAAAGAGAAAGAAGTCCTAGGGAAGCTCCTTTCGCCCATTTCTGGCATTGGCCACAGTATTGCTGAGGGGGATAAACATTCTTTATTGGGCTGTCTCAATCTGGTGCCTCCTCTGAAATCCAGCTGTATAGAAAGGTTACAAGCTGCCGCCAAAGCAGCAGAGATGGATCCAGTAAACAGCTATCAGGCCTGGCAGCTTATGGCTAGGGGAATGGCCATGGAACATGGCTTTTTGTCTAAAGAGCAGCAGATACAGCGCAGCCACGAAGACACTTTGGCAAATGCTGGAGTTATGTTTGATAAGGAGAAGCGGGAGTATGTGTTAGTAGGAGCAGATGGCTCTAAGCAGAAAATGCCTGCTGATTTGGTTCACAGCACTAAAATGGGCAATCAGAGAGACTTGCCAAACAAACTAGACCCTTTAGAAGGCAGTAGAGATTTTTTGTCACATGGTATGAACCAGGGACTCGATTACAACTTACAAAGTCATGGAAACGTAAAAGAAAAGCCAACTGAATGCCCGGACTGCGGAAGGGTTTTTAGAACGTACCACCAAGTGGTCGTTCACTCCAGGGTCCACAAAAGAGACAGGAAAGGAGAAGATGAAATAATTCAAGGTGGTCTCGATGAGCGACGTGGGTCTGGAAGTGATCAAGAGTCTCAGTCTGTCAGCAGGTCGACAACACCAGGGTCTTCTAACATTACTGAAGAAAGCGGAGTAGGTGGGGGCCTGTCGCAGACGGGGAGTGCCCAGGAGGACAGCCCACATCCTTCCTCACCCTCCTCTTCAGGTATGATAACTTCTCCTTCCGTCTCTGCTCTGAAAGCTTCATAGATTGCTATATTTGAAATCACAGCAGCAAAGTAGTTTGTGCCTTCTCTTGTTAGGTCATTTCCTAGTAGTCCACAGGGACATGGTGTTATTTGCCAGAACATCTGTGTTTGGGTTCCTGCGATGCCTTTGAGGTTAATTCTCAGCTCCCCCTTTCCCCTTCCAAGGGCAGGTTTCCCAGTCTTTCAGCCATCACCTCTGCCACCCCACCAGGAGCAGTGTGCAGGCTTAGCACAGCCACCAATGGCCATGTCTCTTCCAGGGCCTCTCCCTCCAGGTTTTGAAAGGTGGTTTTTTCCCCTCCTCTTGTCATGGTGTCTCTCTTGCAGCTCTTTCCATGTCCTCCATGTAAAAGGGTAAGGAAAGATGCCTTCTTTGAGCTGTAGTTAATAAACAGCATGTTGGCTAACCTCTCTGATTGCCCTTACTCTAACAACCATGTCAGTTGCTTGGCTGAGATATGTCCTTGTACCTGGCCACCAGACTGATTAAAAAGATATCCAGAAACACAAATTACTAACCTTTTGACAGTCTTTTAACTTATGTGCGGATTTTAACTCGTATGAAGCCTTCTGCTTAATTCACATCTATTTGAAAGTACAAGAAAAATAGAAATTGGACTGAAACCTTTTAATTGCATTGTATGTCATGTTAACTTGCTGTGTATAAAATAGCAAAGCAGATAATATTTCATTGGAGATGTCTATAAAATATTGAGCTTCCTGGTACAATTTTTAAAGTTACTAGCCTATGACTGCTGAAATAAAATTTCCAAGTAATAACAGGTAAGATTTCTGGCCTCATGTATATTTCCAAAGTCACTTACTAATGGATAGTAAATTGAAAGTTATATCTTCAGCCCTTTATAAAGAAAGCACCTCACTAATACTGTAATCATTCTGCAAGCCTAACAACAGAGGAAATCATGCCATAACAAATACTCTGTTACTAATGGCAACATTGATTTCTGCAATCAGCCATTAAGTCTAGAAAATGAAAGACAGTTTGAGGTACCTTAAGGCATTACATTGCCCACTGTTAAAGAGCTGGTAGCAGGCTGTTGAGGGTAATTCTTTTTAGTTTTTTTCCCCCCCCATTTCGATAAATATTTTAGTATTGGAGGCAATTCACTGTTACAGTTATTAAGTACATGCCAGTTTACTTTTGTTGTTCTTGTCATGCTCCAGTATACTCTACTTCTGAGGCCAAATTAATATCAAAATAAAGTGTTAGTTTCCTGGCTTATTACAAACCAGTAAAGAAATTGTTAAGACACATAAATCTGCACTCTGCATTCCACAGATTCCTATAGTACTTAATGCTGTTGTTTAAATACCCATGAAACACACTGTCTACTCTTAGAGTCATAGCCTGGTTTACAATTTATTACTGGGGAGACACATTAGAAAAGTCTATGTAGGCACAAGGGGAACAGGCGAGAACTAATTTCATACTATATATAGTTGTTGAGATTGTTTTAAGAGGATTGAAATCATGTCAGGATGAAGAAGATTATTTTTCATAACTTTCAGTTTTAAAAATCCTACACTTGGGGGGGGAGGGGGATATAAACACTCCTCTCCAATATAAAAAGTGTCACTTTTGTTTTGCAATGCCATAGAGTGATGGGAAATCAAAAATCCTGAGATTGTTTAAATTCTGTCCGAAACCTTTCAGGGCTGTCTGGAAAAGTTTTGAAAAAAGCAGCCTCAGAGTCTTCTGAGTGGGGTTGAACTGATAGAGGCTGAAGAGGATTCAAAGCATGTGAAAGTTGGTGTGTTTGGAGTGCCCTGAAAACTTTAATTCCAAGTGTTCTGGTTCATTAAGTGTATTGTTGTGGGAAGGTTTTCCTATCTTCAGAGGCCAAAGATAACCCTGGAGTGTTTTTCTGGCCACTACTTTAAAATGATTTTAAACTTGAACTACAATTTGTTTTATACATTTTGTTTTCACATCTGATGCATTTCTATCAAAGCATGTGAAAAAGAAAGGGAAATCTGTGCAGTAAGAGTTGCTAGAAACATGTTTATTTTTACTGAGGAAAACAAGACCTTTTATATTAATATCTGATTGTCTCCTTTAGTTACTAGTAAATGTAAGTAGGCTCTTGGTGTCATACATCTTATCAGGGAAAGTGTGCACGTTTTTATAACTTCTTAATCAGTTGAGAGGAAGAGAGTATTGCATTTTACCAGAACAAAATCTAAGTGTTCTTTAGTACTTTAAAATTAAATGTCATAGCCACATTGCTGTTGGAACTTTGCATCATTATGGAGCATGTGTTTTATCACTACCTGTGAAAAAATAAACCTGTAGAGTATAAAGAAATCAGATTTTTTTTTCCTATTTCTTTTTTTTTTTTTTTTTTTTTTTTTTGCGTAGGGCAGAATTAAGTAGTCATTGAATCTTCTATTAAGAAATTACGGCAAAACACAGTTTTACAAATTTCTCAGACTGCATAACAATGTCTCAAAACTTAATTTGCATCACTTGATTCTTTTTT